TTATTCATAATAGACCCAAACCTGGGGAAAAATGTCAAACAGGTAAATAAACAAACTGTGGTATATTTTCAATGGAATACTCATCAGCTTTAATAAGGAACAAAATGACATACACAACACGGATCTCAAAAACATTATGCTGAGTGAAAGAAGCTTTACACAAATGAATGTACTGTATGATCCCATTTATATGCAGTTCCAGAAAAGGCAAAACTACTCCACAGTGGAAAAAAATCAGAGCACAGTTGCCTCAAGGGGCAGAGGTGGAAATTAACTGAGATGGATATGAAGGAGCTTTCTGGGTGTGGGTAATAGTTTGTATCTTAATAGAGGTTTGGGTTACATAAGCGTTTGCATTTATCAAAACTAACTAAATGGTATGTTTAAGATCTGGGCATTTTATTGAATTTAAGTATTACCTCAAGCAAGAATCAAAAGCAAATATTGAACTTCAGTTAATGATATATATGCTGAAGTATTTAGGGTGAAATGTGCTCATGCCAGCAACCTACTTTGAAATATATGGATTTATGGATAGATAGGGATATAGTAGAGGGGTGGACAAATGATAAAGCAAGTACATAGTAAAATGTCACTGGTACAGTTTAGGTGGTGGGCATATGGGTGTTTACTGGAAAATTTTTTTCAAGTATTTTGTTTGAAAACTTTCATAAGATATTGGAAACCAAACCTACTTTTTAAGCCACTGTTTCACTGTTCATTAGGTTTTCAATTATTTGCTGTCAAATATATTCCTCACTTACAGAAAGAAGGGTTTCTTCCAAGTGGATAAAATTTGCCTTTACACTTATACATTCATTCAACAAATATTTACTAAGTATGTACTACATGCTGAGAAGTCCTGGGTGGTGCAAATGGTTGACATGCTCAGCTGCTAACCGCAAGCTTAGAAGCTTGAGTACACTCAGATGCCTTGGAAGAAAGTCCTGGCAATCTACCGCTGAAAAATCAGCCATTGAAAACTCTGTGGAGCACAGTTGTACTCTGACACACATGGGGTCAGAATCTATTTTATGGCAACTGGTATATCTGGATCTTGTGCTCTTGATAAGGATACCATCAAGTGAACAAAACAAAGTCCCTGCCATTGTGAATTTTATAATCTAATGCAAAAGACAGACATTAAGCAAATCATCATACATATAAATATATGATTACTGTAATCTGAATTCTAAAGGAATGATATCGGGATTCTAAGGCCATTCAACAGGGAGACCTGACCCGTGGTGGGTGGGGAGATTGGGAAAGACTTCCCTGAGAAAATTTGCATGATGGATAGAGTTAATGAGAAGAGAGGTAGCAAATCTTTCAGGCAGAGAGACTAGCATGGGCAAACGTCCTGAGGTAGGAGGAAGTGAAAGAAGGCTTTGTGCCTGCAGCACCAACAGGAAGAGAGAATCTCGATGCAAGAGCAGAGCCTGCAAGGCCAGCAGGGCCCAGGAGGTCTTGGGTGGCATGCTGCGGCCAAGCGCCAGAGAAGTCCACTTTCCACTGGCTTGTGGTATTTCTGAATTTACTCCAGATCTTTCAAGCACACTATTAAAGTGGCTGTAGGTGTTCTACTCTCACAATACACACTTAGACCAGGCAGGGGCTTCTTCAGTGTGTTATGATTTGAGGAGGTAATGGAATGTGTGTCTCATTGCCTCTATGAACTGCTGACTCCTCTGCTATAAGACCAGAACTGGATGGTGCTTGGCTACCACTACTGAAGGTTTTGTTCAAAAATTCTATACAAGAATCCTGATCAAAAGGGGGAAAATGGCAAACAGAGTTTAAAATGACCAACAGAGTTTAAAATGACCATGGAATCCAGATTTTCTGGAGCCATTGAGGCTAGGTGAACCCTTGAAACTACTGCCCTGAGATAATCTTTAAACCTTAAACCAAAACTAACCCCCTGAAGCCTATTTTAAATCAAACGATAGTTTAGTTTTACTTAGTAAAGAATGTCTGCCTTGAGCATTGTGTTCTTTTAAAGAATTATCTATATGTGATCAAACTGACAACAGCAATTCAGAAGGTTAGACAAGAAGCTTAGGGGGCTGTGAGTTTATGCTAATGGTGGAGGAATAATTTGGAAAAGGATAGTGAGAATTGTTACACAACTTTAAGACTGTACTGAATGTCACTGAATTGTACATGTAGAAATTGTTTAATTGGTGTATATTTTCCTGTGTATATTTTCACCAAAAAAAAACATTGTAAGATACTATGTGTTATGTGATTGATGAACCAAAATGGCTATTCAAAGCCATTTTTTGTTCTCTCTTGTAATTAGGACCCAAGCTACCTAAGGGACACTGGGGGAAGAAAGATGTGTCTTTATTTCAGGACACAAAAGTTCGACCAAGAAGCCTTTAAAAGCCTTAATTTTATCTTATATTTTATGGAAGAGGAAAATGAGAGCATTGAAATGCTTGGCTGGTCTTCATGTGCAAAAAAAAATTCTCATTTTTCTTACAAATCCAAAAGTAGCTCCTAAATGTAAAGCTTTAGTTTCCATTTTTCCAAACAGTGGAGAGATGTGAAAGTTTCTGTTTCACAATGATGAAAATACAGTTATGCTGTGTTTATTCTGTTTACATTTACCTTCCATACTTCCAAAAAGGAATAGGCTATAATTTTTTAAAATGATACAAATAATTGTCAAAGAGAAAGAAGACAAGCAGCTCATCTGTGTGGCTAACAAAGAATGGGTCAGGGAGTGCTCAATGGAGAGAAGTCAGCGTGACTCAAGACGCCAGGCCTCCCTTACAGCCAGGGAACTCTGGACAGTCCAAGCCAGGAACCACCTTCACTCAGCACTGAACCCTGCCCACGAGCTGCCCTGGACACTGAGGGGCTTCCAGCAGCCTCCCACACTTTTCCTCATTTGCGTTTTCCTTTCACAGTATTAACTACCGCTTACTGGGCACCTGTGTGCCTTGTCCTTTACATTGCCATTGTTTCTCCCCAAACCCTGCGAGGTAGTACCATGGCCCCCCGTTTGCAGTTAAGGAAAGTGAGGCTCAGGAAGCATATCAGTCAGGAATCTTGCTTTTGCTGAAATGGGAAACCAAACTCAAAGGGTATTTATTGGCTCATATAGCAAAAAAAAAAAGATCACATGAGTTACAGGCACAGCTGGATCCATGTGCTCACAGAGCCGCAGGCCCCATTTCTGACTCAAGTCTACACTCCTTGTTGGAGGTGGTAAGGAAGACCACCTGTGTTGTTCTGTTGTTAGGTGCCGTCGAGTTGGTTCCGACTCATAGTGACCTTATGTAATACAGAACGAAACACTGCCCCGTCCTGCACCATCCTCACAACTGTTATGCTTGAGCCCATTGTTGCAGCCACTGTGTCAATCCATCTTGCTGAGAGTCTTCCTCTTTTTCGCTGACCTTGTACTTTACCAAGCATGATGTCCTTCTCCAGGGACTGGTCCCTCCTGATAGCATGTCCAAAGTATGTAAGACATAGTCTTGCCATCCTTGCTTCTAAGGAGCATTCTGGCTGTACTTCTTCCAAGACAGATATGTTCATTCTTTTGCCAGTCCATGGTATATTCAATATTCTTCACCAACACCATGACTCAAAGGCATCTATTCTTCGGTCTTCCTTATTCACTGTCCAGCTTTCACATGCATATGATGCAACTGAAAATACTATGGCTTGGGTCAGGAGCACCTTAGTCTTCAAGGTGACATCTTTGCTTTTCAACACTTTAAAGAGGTCTTTTGCAGCAGATTTGCCCAACACAATGAGTCTTTTTATTTCTTGACTGCTGTTTTCACAGGTGTTGAATGTGGATCCAAGTAAAATAAAATCCTTGACAACTTCAATCTTTTCTCCATTTATCATGATGTTGCTTATTGGTCCAGTTATGAGGATTTTTGTTTTATGTTGAGGTGTAATCCATACTGAAGGCTGTAGTCTTTGATCTTCATCAGTAAGTGCTTCAAGTCCTCTCCACTTTCAACAAGCAAGACTGTGTCACCTGCATATTGCAGGTTGTTAATGAATCTTCCTCCAATCCTGATGCTCTGTTCTTCTTCATATAGTCCAGCTTCTCAGATTATTTGATCAGCATACAGATTGAATAAGTATGGTGAAAGGATACAACCCTGACCCACACCTTTCCTGACTTTAAACCACGCAATATCCCTTTGCTCTGTTCAGACAACTGCTTCTTGATCTAGGCACAGGTTCCTCATGAGCACAATTAAGTGTTCTGGAATTCCCATTCTTTGCAATGTTATCCATAATTTGTTATGATCCACACAATCGAATGCCTTTGCACAGTTAATAAAACACAGGTAAACATCTTTCTGGTATTCTCTGCTTTCAGCCAGGATCCATCTGACATCAGCAATGGTATCCCTGGTTCCTCGTCCTCTTTTGAATTCGGCCTGAATTTCTGGCAGTTCCCTGTCAATATACTGCTGCAGCCGCTTTCAAATGATCTTCAGCAAAATTTACTTGAGCGTGATATTAATGATATTGTTCGGTAATCCCCACATTCGGTTGGATTGCCTTTCTCGGGAACAGGCATAAACATGGATCTCTTTTAGTCAGTTGGCCAGGTAGCTGTCTTCTGAATTTCTTGGCACAGACAAGTAAGCACTTCCAGTGCTGCACGCATTTGTTGAAATATCTCAGTTGATATTGAGTCAATTCCTGGAGCCTTGTTTTTCACCAATGCCTTCAGTGCAGCTTGGACTTCTTCCTTCAGTAACATTGGTTCCTGATCATATGCTACCTCTTGAAAGGGTTGAACATCAACCAATTATTTTTGGTATAATGACTCTGTGTAGTGTGTTCTTCCCTTTTGGTTTTCTATCTCCAGCTCTTTGCACATGTCATTATAATACTTTACTCTGTCTTATCGAGCTGCCCTTTGAAATCTTCTGTTCAGTTCTTTTACTTCATCATTTCTTCCTTTTGCTTTAGCTACTCAACATTCAAGTGCAAGTTTCAGAGTCTCTTCTGACCTCCATTTTGGTCTTTTATTTCCTGTCTTTTTAATGACCCCTTGCTTTCTTTATGTATGATGTCCTTGATGTCATTCTACAACTGGTCTGGTCTTCGGTCATTAGTGTTCAGTGCATCAAAGGACGATCGCTAGGCTAGCTCAGTACCCTGTATCTGCTCCTCTTCCTGACTCATCGTGTTTTATGACTTCTGTTTGGGTGTTTCTATCCATCCTCAAACTATGCCTTGAGGCTGGAGCAAGGATATCCACTTACTGTTTCAGACCTAAGTCTGGCATCCCACTCTGAAGTCTGATGAGGGGCCTCTGAAGTCTGATGAGGGGCCTGAAAATTGAGGGACGGATGGGTAGCTATTAAATGACTACTTTCCGCTCCATAACTATATAAAACTACCTCCTTCACATTGGCCAAGCCTCTGCTCTTGCCCTGTGACCGTTCAGCCTCCTCCTTTAACCTTTGACGTAAAGTCCTTCCCACATGTAGGGTTTCCCTTCAACCCTATCAGTGTGAGCCACACCAGAAGCTTTACTCTCTTGGGAGTAAGAAGAGTCTCCCAAAGCCCTGGGTAAATTCCCTGACAAGTATGGAGTAGTAAATGGGCAGGTGACTCCAGGTAAGGGCATCCAGCTAAGAGGGTAGGTATGTTAGGGCTAAAACCAGCCTACACACTGCTCACCAAGCCTTGTATCACGGCACAGGGCTACTTCCACCCAAAGGGACACTTTATTTTTTAAATAGGCTTCCTTGACTCTCCTCTCCTTCATGGAAGAGACTTACCAGGTTGTCAGGAGGGAGAGAGGCAGGAGGAGGACCATCCCAGTATCTTACCCCAATTTAATCCCTGGATGACACAAAGAATAACTGCCAATCCAGCAATATCATAAAGAGGCCATGAATTCTAGTCTCTGATAGGCCACCTACATTTTTTAAAAAATTGGAATGAAAGGTGGTGTTGGCTCTTTGTGACAAAATAAATATCGTCCAGAAGCTTTCACTGAGCCATATCTACTCTGTGCATGATTCAGGTGTTAGCAAGAAACATGCCCTCTTCATTCAAAACAATATTTTCTGAGAGTCTGAGGGCATTTGCATAAGCTGCTCATCTCCCTGGAGCCCTCTCTGCCCAGATCTTTGCATGGCTGACTCCTGAGCATCTTCTGCATACACAATACACACCCTGGGTTGCAACCGCTTCCTCCAAGGAAGAAGTCCCAAAATTCAGAAGCACCTGTAGTTTTCCAGCACTTTGAATACCTCTCAGTTTTCATGCTCTGTCAGGGCCTGGGAACGTACTAAGTTGAATCATATAAAATTGCCTTTTTTGTAGGTCAAAATAAAGACGCAATACTTTCAAGAAAAAAAATTTTTTAATTCAGTCAAAATATGCACTGTTAGCAGTAACCACTTTCCCACAATGGGATATTAAATGATATATATACCATTATTTACAAAATTCAGCATTTTTAAACTGTTAAAATGTATTCAAATCCTCCAATTACTGCTTTTCAATTGGGGAATGTTCTATTTCTTAGAAAGAGCTCCAAATGATGAAACAGTGGTCATCTGTTGAAAAAAGGCCGAGTGAGAATGACGGATGTAGCAAAAGTTCTTAATCCAATGCAGTTAACTTTGCTATGGCGGTTTGTGATTTCTGTGGTCAAACGTCATGAAAAAGTACAGATCCATATCTGCTAACCAATGCAGAGTGCTTTTAGATCAAATTTTGATATATATTTTTAACATACTGAAAATAAAATACTGCTATTATTGTTTTACCAGTGTTAAAAAGCAGTACTGAAATATCCTTTTTTCAGACTACCACACAGTCATCAGAATCTTTTTTGATTGCAATGATGGTTTTGACATGTTTGGGAACTTCACCAGCTTCCAAATGTTGTCCAGATCAGTTTCAACTGTGATATAGTATCCATTTTTGGCCATAGATTATGATCCGCTCCAAAACAGATCTTTGTTGTTTCAAATCTTAAGAGATGAAACATCTCAGTTTATGATCCTCCATCAACTGGTGTAGTACCTACCCACCTGTCCAATTTTTTCACCTTCCCTATTGCAGCCAGGTGTCGAGAAATTGTCGTAGCAGAAACTCCTAAGTCTGCTGCAAGGCCTCGAATTGCTGTTTTGGGGTTAGCTTCCACCATAGCTCTTAACTGATCTTCATTTAAAACAGATTTGGGCCTCCCGCGAGGTTCATTTTTCAGACTCATATGCCCAGACCGAAATTTTTCAAACCACCACCGGATGGTCCTTTCACTAACAGAGCCTCCTCCAAAGACGGAATTGATGTTTCTGCTTGCCTCGGCTGCACTATGGCCCAGTTTAAATTCATATAAAAAAAGTATTCGTAAATCTTTCAAAGATATGGTACTGTTCACGTCTGTGAAGGAAATAAACAACAAAAGCTCAGTCATCAAAGAAAATGGAAGAGCATAATACTATTCTGAATACTCAACAACACAATCAAACTCATGGTCTGCTCTTAGTTGGTCACAGATCAGCAGTGTCACTCGCAGGTTACCTATTTTCATCACTGTACTCTGCTGTCATCAGTTTACATCAGCCTTCTGGCTTTCCACTGGGAATAAAATTTCCAGAATTTTACAAGCATCTACCATGGAAGAAATGCTTTCAAACTAAAACATGAATTGTGTTTTTAAACCCAGGAGTTCAATGTCTACCAAACCATTTTTTCAGTACTATCAAATTAAGATCTCAGATCAATTTAACACTTGTAGAAATTTCTCCCGTAGTAGGTTCAAAATACCTGTTTCTCATGTTTTCTCATAGATGTGTTTTTAGATCTTCCTCTTCCTCAACTCATATGATCTGAATGGCTTCTATTTCACGACCTCTTTCTGTGTCCTAAATTCTCATTTCCTGTAGAATTTATCTTCTTTCACCTAACTCTCAGTTTGACTCCTCTGGGCTTCATGCTTAATTTTGGTATGTATGAATAAAAATAATATATTTTAGGGTTATGAAAGAACTGTTTGCCTAAGTTCTCATTTTTCCTCTGGCAGTCAAGTATTCTAAATGGCACTAGAGTCTACTATCTAAATTATTTTTTAAAACTACAACTATGACATACATGTCCCACCAAAGGGTTTTAAAAAAAGGATGACAGATATTCAGCAGAGCTCAAGTCCACACAATGCGTGATGTGAGAGGAATCTTGAAGTATGAGGGGGTGTTTTCTTTTTTAGTGCCTTTAATTCTAGCCGCCTATCAGTACATATTCCTCCATAGAAACCCTTCTGCCTTTTTCCTCTCCTCTGCTTCCAAGATGGTGAAATGGAAAGGAAAAAGGTCTCCGTTCCTTTTTGCCCTCACTTAAATTCCAGACTGAACCATTCCAAGCATGCAGACAAGTAATCTTCTATCACTGAAGAAGGAAAAAAAAAAAATCTGACTTCAACCATAATATATTGGTACCAAAATAAACAAACTCATTGTAACACAGAAGCATCAGAAGCCGTCTAACTTCGGGGGAGGGATGAGAAGAATCAAAATCAACAGCCCAAAGCTGATTCCTATGACGTGGAGGTCAGAGATACCTCCACTCTCCAACCTTTTTACCAGTTCTGACACCAGCCATCTTCCCAACAGCACTCTCTACTTCTCTGCTGGGTTTGTTAATTTGCAATGGCCACACAGAACTCATAGACCATACTCACAGTTACGAGGTTTATTAGGGAAGTTAACAGGCTACGACTTGGGATCAAGATCAACTTGGAAACAAAAGAACAACTACGGAGACAGGATACAGTTCATTAATCAGGTCAGCTTCCAACCAAGACAGGGCTCAGCTCCTTCTCTGCTGTGCCCGCGGGCCTGGCCCCACTCTGGCCTCTGACGCCAGACCATGTTCGGGCTGGGCCTCGGCCTCCGGGCCCTGCTCAGGCATCTGCCGCTGACCCCTGCTCTGTATGGGTGTCGGCCTCCGGGCCCCGCTCAGCAAGTGTTACAGTTTTTTGGCTCCACCGTCAAGTGCCCGGAGGCACCCCATTCCGTCAGCAAGGCTCCTGCCCCAAGGCGCTCAGCTTTCTCTCTTCATGGGTCAGCGAGGCCACCGCAGCTGCCTCGATCCATGGGTTCTGGCCCACTGCAGCCATCTTGCGACCATCTCCTGGTTCTCGCCGCTCGTGCCATCTTGTACCATCTCATGCCATCTCCAGTACTACAGCTCTCTGTCTCCTGGGTCTAGGAGGTTCTCAGCATAGGGAGCCTGGGTCCAAGGGACAAGCTCTGCTCCCGACTCTTCTTCTTGATGGTAGTAAGGCCCCCCTCAGCCTCTGTGGGATTGGCTCTTTTATAAGCCACCAAGACCATGAACTGACCAATCCACTCAGTAGGCCACAGTCACTTTCTTTGCATAGTGAACTGTCTAATCCCTGCAAGGATTTTACGTACCTTATTTGCATAGTAAACTTTCCAATCCCTTTGCAAGACCGTGCCAGCAACTCATCTTGGCAGAACTACAAACCCAGGGCCAAAAAGGCCATATATGAAGAGACACCTGTTGCACTGCACATATATTGCAAAGATAATATTAGGTAAGTTAGTAGCATTATTTTAATCCCTGATATACTGAAATCAATTACCCTGTTGTTCCTCAATGGAGTGAAAATGGGACGGAGGTGATTCTAGTCAATATAGTAGATTTAACTAAGGTAAGGAATCAACCCTCCCAGTCCAAACAAACAAACATGCTAGTTAAGACACAACCAAAAACCAAACCAAACCAAGCTTGTTTTAATACACAGAAAAACCAAAACCAAACCCGTTGCTGTTGAGTTAATTCCGACTCATAGTGACCCTACAGGACAGAGCAGAACTGCCCCATAGGGTTTCCAAGGAGCACCTGGTGGATCTGAACTGCTGACTTTTTGGTTAGCAGCCAAATTCATAACCACTACACCACCAGGGTTTCCATTTTAGTACATAGTTGAGTCCAAATTGCAAGAAAGAGAATTTCTCAAATGCAAAAAAAGGTCAGAGAGAAGGCTGAAAGTCTTGGTGGTGAACAGACACGTGAATAGAAGAATTCATATCCCAGAACTACAAATAATGGAACAATCTGAACCAGAAATATTTGTAAATAAGTATGCCTAAAATGTTCAAAGAGAAAAACTTAGAAATAAAATCCATTAGGCAAGAACAGGCCACTGTAAAAACAAATCCTACATCGCATTTAGTTACCATGTCTTCTTAGTCTCCTCCAATCTGTGACAGCTCCTCAATCTTTCCTTTTCATGACCTTGACTATTTTGTGGTGTTTGGCTAATGGTAATTTCCTACTTTTCCCGTTCCTTCTATATTTATTAATTGGAATTCTATTGTAAGGAAAAGCTGTTCCTTCTCTCCCATTAATTTATTTATTTCAGTATGGACTCATGGATGTTTACTTTATTCCACACACTGTAATCAAATAATATCATTATTTATTTTGTTGCTCAGATCGTCCCAGCTTTGGCCATTAGAAGCTCCTTCAGGTTGTTGTCGTTGTTTTTTCATTTCCTTATTTCCTGGAACCTCAAGATGTTTCAGGCTCCCCTGTTATTCTCCCTGTCCCAGTCCTAGAAGCAACCACTTCTCCAAAGAGCCCTGGCTCCTTTTATTGGAGAATGGTGTTCAGAAACCAATATCCAGGTGCTAGGTTTGTTCATTATTACTTGGGTGTCACTGCTCTCTCAGTGGATAAAACTTGGAAATACATGCATACTAACCCACACATATGCTGATATCTCAGATTCCACCAAAGATAAACTAGATAACTGGGAGCTCCTAAAAATTACACACTTATGCTTATCAAAGACTTCACCAAAAAAGTAAAAAGAGAACCTATAGACTAGGAAAAAACTTTCCGCTATGTCATATCTGACAAAGATCTAATCTCTAAAATCTATAGAATACTTCAACGCCTAACAACAAAAAGACAAAAAATCCAATTTAAAAAAATGGGCAAAAGATATGAACAGATACTTCACCAAAGAAGACATGAAGGGGGTTAATAGACACATGAGGAAATGCCTGCGATCATTACTCATTAGAGAATGCAAATCAATATTACAATGAGATACCATCCCACCCCGAAAATACTGGCACTAATTAAAAAAAACAGAAAATAACAAATGTTGGAGAGGTTATGGGGAGATTGGAACTCTTATGCACTGCTGGTAGGAATGTAAAACGGTACAACCACTATGGAAAATGATATGGCACCTCCTTAAAAAGCTAAAAATAGAAATATAGTTCAGCAAGTCCACTCCTAGGAATATATCCTAGAGAAATAAGAGCCATCACACAAATAGACATATGCACACCCATGTTCACTGCAGCATTATTCACAATAGCAAAAAGATGGAAACAACCTAAGTGCCCATCAATAAATGAATGGATAAACAAATTGTGGTACATACACACAATGGAATACTATGTAATGATAAAGAACAATGATGAATCCTCAAAACATCTCACAACATGAATGAACCTGAAGGGCATTATGCAGAGTGAAATAAGTAAATCACATCTGTCCTACAGGGTCGCTATGAGTAGGCATTGTCTCGACCGCAATGGGAAAAATTCCAGACTGTTTTCCAAAGTGCCTGCTCCATTTTACATTTTCCCCAGCAGTACATGAGAGTTCCAATCTCTCCACACCCTCACCACCATTTGTTACTATCTTTTTTAGCACTGCCATCCTCATGGGTATGAAGTGGCATCTCACTGTGGTTTTTATTTGCATTTCCCTAATGACTAATGATGTTGAGCATCTTTCATGTACTTATTCGCCATTTGTTTCTTATTTGAAGAACTAAATCCTTTGCCTGTTTTTTTTTTTTTTTTAATTGGGTTATTTGTCTTTTTATTACTGAGTTGTTCTTTAAATATTCTGAACGCAAGTACCGTTTGAGATATGGTTGCAAGTATTTTTTTCCCATTCTGTGGATTGTCTTTTTACTTCTTGATGACATCATCTACAACACAAGTTTTAAATTTTGATGTAGTCCAATTTATCTACCTTTTCTTCTGTCATCTGTCCTTCTGGTATCATATTTTAAAAAACCATTGCCTAACTAAATGTCAGAAAGATTTACTGTTACGTTTTCTTCTAAAAGTTTTATAGTTTGAGCTCTTATGTTTGGGTTGAAAATCCATGTTGAGTTCATTTTTGTCTATGGTATGAAGCAGAGGCCCAACTTCACTTTTTTTGCACGTGGATATCCAGTTGTCCCAGCACCATCTGTTGAAAAGACTATTCTCTCTCCACTTAATTGCCTTGGCACCTTTGTTGAAAGTCAACTGATTGTTTTCCAGGCTATTCTTCCATGTTTGTTTTTTCCACATGAATTTTAGTTGACAGCTTGTCGAACTCCATAAAATAGCTTGTTCCTATTTTTATTAGATTGTACTGAATTTATAATTTTCTTAGGGAGGACTGATATCTTTATGATGTTGAGTCATTCTACCTCAGAACAGGGGATGTTTTTCCATTTGTGTAAATCTGCTTTAGTGTATTTCAGGGGTGTTTTAAATTTTTCTTGCATATTATTAAATTTATTCCTAAGTATTTAATGTTCTATGCTGCTATATATTATAAATGGGGCTTTCTCTAACATTATGTCCTCTGTTTATTGTTTGTGTATGAAAGCTACTAATTTTCTATATATTAATTTTATATCCTGCTACTTTACTGAATTCTTTTACTGTTTAAATTAGATTTATCACTGACTCCTTGCGGTCTAGATATACTATCATAGCATTTGCATATAGTAAGTTTTACTTCTTCATTACTCATTCTTGTGCTTCTCATTGATTTCTCTTGTCTAAATGCATTGGTTAATTTACTTCTAGTACAATGTTGAGCAGTGACAGAGATGGTCGGCAACCTTACTTTGTTCTTGATCTGAACAGAAATGCCCCTAGTGTTTTTCCATTAAATAAGACACTAGTTTTAAGACTAAGGTATATATACTTTATCATAGTAAGAAAGTATCCTTCAATTCTTATTTTCTTGAGCTTTGTTTTTTTTTTTTTATCATGAATGGGTACTGAATGTTTTCAAAGGCTTCTCGGCATCTGTGAAGATAATCCTATGATTTATCTTTGATTTATTAATATGTTATATGATATTAATTGATTTCCTAACACTGAACCAACTTTGCAGTCCTGGAATAAATCCAGCCTTAGCACTTTTACATTTGGTCTTCTCTCTGCCTAGAATTTGCTTTCCCCTGGTTTTCACACATTTAGCCCCTTCATCCTATTTAGGTCTTAGCTAAAATATTACCTCCTCAGAGAGGCAATCCCTGAGCACCCAATCAAAGTAGCCTTCCAGTCATCCTCTAGCACAATACCCTATATTAATTCTCTATTCAGCACTTATTATTAGCTGACATTTTCCTAAGTTCATTATGTATCTGTCTCGACTAGAATGTAAGCTCCATGACAGCAATGAACTTGTGTTGGTAGATTTACTGCTATATGCCCAAGAAATACAGCATCTGGCATATTTCAGGCACTCAGTAAATGTAGTAACCCCATTTTGAGTTCATTAAATGAACCCAGTATCTGATTTTAACATAGGAAAAAAATAAGTAACAAAAATGTGCCTTCTCTGAACACATTTACTGAATAAATCTATACTTCTGTATATTAAAGAGAAAGCTACAAGCTCAAACAAAATTAAAACCGGTAAATTTTAGACAATTTAAATCAGTGAACTGAAAAAGTGACCAGTACTTTAAAAAATGTTAATGCTAAGACCAAAGATTCTTTTCTTTCACATTTAATATTTTCAAATTGAAATTTCTCATTAAAATTTGTTACAAGCTTTATCAGTATTGTGAAAAAGTTAACATTTAAACTGGATAAAGAACAAACCAACAGCATAAATGTACGTATTGTATCTAAGAAAGCTAAGATGAACTTCCATAGATTTTAATATTTAAACTTCACCAGTAAAAAAAAATTTAACTCACAAAAATTAATTTCAAATATATATCCACTCCTCACTTATCGACACGGTTAGGTTCCAAAAACCAAGTCATTATGCAAAAATTGGTGTTATATGAAAATGGAGGATAACCACATCAGATCACAAAATGGAGGATGGCATCATTACAAAACTGCCAATTTACATTATAACTGCCAAATTACATCATTACATAACTGCTAAACCACTGAGAATCATGGCCTAGCCAAGCTGACACATAACCTTAACCATCACAACCAGTGTTACTCTCTCCTCACACCTCAGCATTCATTACTGCCAGATGTATGTCGTTAATGAGCAAAATAGTCAGGTAGCAGATTTTTTTACTATTGTCATAAATGTGAAATGTGCGATAACAATAGTCGGTAAGTGAGGAGTAGGTGTACACACTAGAAATTTTAAAAGGTGGAAAGGTAATAGAACTCTTAACGATTACCTGTAAAGAGGGATGATTTCTCTGAGTGTTTTACTTTTAGACGTTTCCTATTAATAAATATGTAACCACAAGGACAAGACTTACATGCAACAGGAACCTGGAGCGAAAAAAAAAGGAAAAAATATATTACCAATTTACTACTATTAAATTTCTCACGTGTTTATGTGGTCCCTTCAACTGAACAATAATTTAGTTGAAGGTTGAAATCACATTTATATTTAAATCTATCTCTTTATAAAAGATTATTTAAGATACGATTTATATCCTATACACCTTCCCATTCTCCTAGGGCTTAATAGTGTCATGCACATAGCTTTGTATATGTTAATGTGAGTGGCCAGGGGAAGAATTTGAAGAAAATTAATATTTCCTAAATGTCAGTCCTAGAATAGATTACAACATGGATTAGACTAGAAAAAAGGGATTGATTAGGAAATTATTACATTAATTCCAGGACGAAATGCTGGTGGAAGAGTGATTTAAAAAAAAAAAAAGGATGCATTTGACAGACATTTCAAAGGGGTAGGAGATAAGATTTAGGGGGGAAAAATCAACAAATTGATTACTGGTTATAAAGCAGAAAGAACTGAAAATGACTCTGAGAGTTGAAGCATGAGAGGGAAAGATGGCCAGTACCGCTGACAGAAAAAGGATAGTTTATAATAGCCACTTTGAGGGGCAAGAATATGGAAGAGCATGAAAAAAGATGTTCAGACACAATTCCATAAGCATTATAGGTTTCTTTTCCTTAACTGTAAAATATCTAAGGTTCTGTTCTGCCTGAAGAGGTCCATGATCCTTACATATTGAAAAAATAAATAATTATTTAAGGTGTTTATTAAAGTATAATGAATATATAGTAAACTGCACATATTTATAAAGTACAATTTGATGTTTTGGCATGTGTATACACACGGGAAACCATCACCACAATCAAGATAGTGAACATATTTATCATCCCCAAATGTTTCCTCATGCCCTTTGTAATCTCTTCTTCCTATCCCTCCCTACCCCCCAGTCACCAGGCCACTATCGATCTGCTTTATGTCACTATAGATTAGTTTGGATTTCCTAGAGTTTTATATAAATGACATCATAAATATATACTCTTTTTTTATTTGGCTTCTTTCACTCAGCATAATTATTTGGAGACTTCCCATGCTGCATGTAACAAGTTCATTCCTTTTTATCACTGAGCAGTATTCCACTGTAAGGATATACCAGTTTGGATATTCATTAACTTGCTAATGCACATTTGGATTGTTTCCAGTTTGAGCTTATTACAGATAAAACCAAAAAACCAAATCCGTTGCTGTGGAGTCGATTCCGACTCATAGCAACCTTACAGAGCAGAGTAGAACTGCCCCATAGAATTTCCAAGGAGCAGCTGGTGGATTCAAATTGCTGACCTTTTGGTTAGCAGCTTATGAATATTCTCGTACCAGTTCTCATATAGACATATGCTTTCTTTTCTCTTGGATAAATACCTAGGAGTGGAACGGCTGGATCAAATTGTTTTCCAAAGTGGCTGTACCATTTTATATTCACACCAGCATGTATAAGAGTTCCAGTTCCTCCACATCCTCACCAACACTTGGTTTGTTCAGCCTTTTATAATTTTAGCTACTTTAGCAGACGGCATCTTAGTTTCAGTGCTGCTATAAGAGAAATACCACAAGTGGGTAGTTTAATGAACAGAAATTTTCTCAGTTTAGGAGGCTAGGAGTCCAAATTCAGGGAGCCAGTTTTAGGGGAAGGCTTTCTCTCTCTGTCAGCTCTGAAAGGTCCTTGTCTCTTTTCAGCTCCTGTTCATCAGTTCCTTGGTGATCTTCATGTGGCATCTATCTTCCCCTCCACTTCCAACTGCTTCTCTGTGTCACTCTGCTCTTTATATATCTCAAAGGTGATCGGCTTAAAATAACCTACACTGATATGGCCTCATTAACATAACAAATAAAAACATATTCCCAAATGGGATTACATCCACAAATATAAGTATTAGGATTTACAATGCATATTTTGAGGGGGACACAATTCAATCCATAACACATGGGTAGTAGGCTCTCAGGTGTAGTTTTAATTTGTATTTCCCTAATGACTAATGGGAGCCTTGGTGGCACAGTGGTTAAGAGCTCAGCTACTAACCAAAAGGTTGGCAGTTTGAATTCACCAGCTGCTCCTCGGAAATCCTATGGGGCAGTTCTACTCTGTCCTACAGGGTCACTAAGAGTTGGAATCAATTCGATGGCAATAGGTTTGGGTTTTTTTTTGGAATGACTAATGATGTTGAGCAACTTTTCTTGTGCTCATTTGCCATCCATATATCTACTTGGGTGACGTATTCAAATCTTTGTCCATTTACTACATTATTTCAGCAGTGCCTTTCAAAGAGCAGAAGTTTCAATTTTGATGAAGCCCGATTTAACTTTTTTTTCTTTTTTGGATCGTGTTTTTGGTGTCATAACTAAAATATTTGCCTAACTCAAGGTCACAAAGATTTTTCTCTGTTTTCTTCTAGAAGTCTTATAGTTTAAAAGTCTTAATTTAAGTCTATGATCCATCTTGAAATATTTGTATATGGTACAAGGCAAGGATCAAAGTTTGTGTGTTGCTTTTTTTTTTTTTAACATGTGGATATCCAATTGTTCCAGCACCATCTGTTGAAAAGAGTATTTTTTCTCTGCTGTTGTGGTCACCCTGTAGAGAAGGGATGGACCCCACGCACAAAATCTGGTTCAGATATTGAGACTGATGACGCCATTCATGCACCAAGAATGTATGAAAAGGCTTTCATAATGAGGCTTTATGGGGAGAGCAGGGCAGGTTCCCAAGCAGGTCCAAAAATGGCTTGAGAGAATAAGGAGAGGAGACTGGCCTGGGGTTTTTAAGGTGGTTAGGGGGTGGGGTAGGGTGGGGTGAGGGCTCCTGCGTGTGCACAGCCGAAGCTTGTGTGGTTTGAATTTCCTGATCGAGCTACAGAAGAGAAAACTCCGGCTCTTTTTGTTTATTGTTGTAGTTTAAATGAAATTTACATTTCAAGTAAGTCTCTCATACAAAAATTTATACATACATTGTTATGTGACTCTAATTGCTCTCCCCATACTGTGACAGCACACTCCTCCTTTCCACCCGATTCCCCATGTCCTTTCAACCACCTCCTAGCCCTCTCTGTCTTCCCACCTCACCTCCGGACAGAAGCTGCCCGTTTAGTCTCTTGTATCTACTTGAGCTAAGCAGCACACTCCTCACGAGTATCATTTTATGTCCCACAGTCCAGGCCAATCCCTGTCTGAAGAGTTGGCCTCGGAAATTGTTTCAGTTCTGGGCTGATAGAGAATCCGGGGGCCATGCTTTCTGGGGTTCCTCCAGTCTCATTCAGACCATTAAGTCTGGTCTTCTTACTAGAATTTGAGTTCTGCACCCCATCTTTCTCCTGCTCCATTAGGGACTCTCTGTTGTGTTCCCTGTCAGGGTGGTCATTGGTGGTAGCTGGACACCATCTAGTTCTCCTGGTCTCAGGCTGATGAAGTCTCTGGTTTATGTGGCCCTTTCTGTCTCTTGGGCTAAAACTTTCCTTGTGTCTTTGGTGTTCTTCATTCTCCTTTACTCCAGGTGGTTGGAACCAACTGATGCATCTTAGATGACCGCTTGCTAGCTCTTAAGACCCCAGACGCCACTCACCAAAGCAGGATGCAGAACATTTTCTTAATAAGCTTTGTTATGCCAATTGACCTAGATGTCCCCTGAAAGCATGGTCCCCAGACCCCTACCCCTGCTACTCTGTCCCTCAAAGTGTTTGATTGTATTCAGGAAACTACTTAGCTTTGGTTTAGTCCAGTTGTGCTGACTTCCCACTCAGGCTTTCTTATCATCTTGCCTACATGTGAGGAGACAGGCAAGGAGTAGTGGGGCTTCAAAGCTGTTAGCAATCAAACATCAATAAGAGTCACAAGTCACACTTTTTATAACAACTCACCCCTAGTGTGTGATGACTGAAATATGCCATGTTTCATTTAAATGAATTTGAACTTTTTTAAACAAAACCATTATGGTGCTCTAAGAGGCCTGTAGCCTGAGGCCACTAAGGAAGGTGAAAGTCCCATTGAATGCCTTGTTCAAGAGCTCAGCATTGTATATTTTGAAAAGTGAAATGAGTGCCTTGGTCACTGTCAGTAATGTCTGGAATACCAAAGGGGATAAAGTATCTTGGTGAGGCCTTGTATTCAGCATTAGTATGTGCAGAGACATGTGGCCTTAATTTACATTTTGGGTATCTGTGAGGTATGAGATTCCCAAAGTTACTTACTCCAAAAGGGGGCAATCTTGGGAAAGAAATTGTTGTTGCTGCCATTGGCCTGACGAAATGGCCAGATCATTTGCAATGGTCCAAGAGTCTATAAAAGTGTACAGATGGGGCTGATTGCTGGCCAGAGCATCCATTGCTAAGATAACTGCCTGAAGTTTGGCCAACTGTCCTGACCCTTGGGTCCTGTCCTTGAATCAAGAATGTCCAAGTTAAGGAATGGCCATTTATCTGTTTGCACTCCTCTTTCAATTATTTTAAGTGTATACCTAGGATTGGAATTGCTAGATTATATGGTAATTCTAGGTTTAACTTTTTGAAGAACCACCAAACTGTTTTCTTCAGTGGCTGTACCATTTTACAATCCCGCCAGCAATGGACGAGGGTTGCAATTTCTCCACATCCCAGGCAACACCTATTGTTTTCCATTTTATTAAATCATAGCCATATGAACGGGTGGGAAGTAAAAGCTCACTGTGGTTTGATTTGCATCTCGCTAATGACTAATGAGGAGACTTGGTGGCGCAGTGGTTAAGAGCTCGACTGCTAAACAAAAAGATTAGCAGTTTGAATCCAACAGCCACTCCTTGAAAACTCTATGGGGCAGTTCTACTCTGTCGTATAGGGTTGCTATGAGTCAGAATCAACTTGACAGCAATGAGTATTTTTAATGACTAATGAAGGAGCCCTGGGGGCACAGTGGTTAAGTGTTCAGCTGCTAACTGAAAGGTTGGCAGTTCAAACTCACCAGCTGCTCTGTGGTAGGGGGTACAAAGATGTGGCAGTCTGTTTTC